GCCAGGACTGGGGAGCCTGAGGGCCAGCCTCGACAGTGAAGACTGAAGCAAAGAAGGCATTCAGTAGCTCCGCCTTCTCTGTATCTTCTGTCACCAGGGCACCCATTTCATTCAGCAGCGGTCCCACATTACCCCTGGTCTTACGTTTACTGCTGACATACTTGAAGAAGCCCTTCTTGTTATCCTTGACGTCCTTTGCCAGACTTAGTTCCAGGTGAACCTTGGCCTTTCTAGTTGCTTCCCTACATGCTCTGGCAGCATTCCTGTATGCCTCCCAAGTGGCCTGACCCTCTTTCCACATTCCATGGAGCTTACTCTTTTCTTTGAGTTTCACTAGGAGCTCCTTGTTCATCCGTGCAGGCCACAGCACACACTGGTGCCTGGGGTTGTTCCTCCCCAGGTGCAGGACCTTGTGCTTCCCCTTGTTGAACTTCAGGAGATTCCTGTCAGTTCATTTCTCCAGCCTGAGGTCCCTCTGGATGGCAGCACAACCCTCTCTTGTAACATCTACTTCTTCCAGTTTTGTGTCATCTGCAGATTAGCTGCAGGTAAACTCTGCCCCATCATCCAGATCATTACTGGAGATTTTTAACAGGACTGACGGCAGTATTGACCCCTGGGGCACATTGCTAGTCACTGGCCTCCAACTAGATATTGTGCCACTGATCACCACGTTCTGGGCCTGCCCACTCAGCCAGTTTTCAATCCACCTCACTGTCTGCTCATCCATCCCATACATCAATAGCTTCTCTGTGTGGATCTTATGGGAGACACTGTCAAAGGTCCCATACATCAACAGCTTCTGTGTGGGAATCTTATGGGAGACAGTGTCAAAGGCCTTACTGAAGTCCAGGTAGACAATATCCACTGCTCTTTGTCTACCAGGCCAGTCATTTCATCATAAAAGTTTATCAAATTGGTCAACATGATTTCCCCTTGGTGAAGCCATGCTGACTACTACCAATGTTTTTCTTGTTGTTGATGTGCCTGGAAATGGTTTCCAGGTTTAGCTGCTCCATCACTTTCCCAGGGATCAAGGTTATGGTGACAGGCCTTTTGTTCCCTGGATCCTCCTTCTTGCCATTCTTGAAGATAGGAGTGACATTTGCTTTCCTCCAGTCTCAGGCACTTCCCCCAATGACCATGATAGATCAAAGATTATCAAAAGTGGCCTCTCAGTGGCATCTTCCAGCTCCCACAGCACTTGTGGGTGCATCCCCTTGGGGCCCATGGACTTATGTATGTTCATTTTGCTTAAATTTTCCCTGACTTGATCCTCTTCCACCAAGGGTATATCTTCCTTGCTCCAGACTTTCCCCTTGGTCTCTGGGACCTGGGATTCCTGAAGGCCAGTGTTGCTAGTCAGACTGAGGCAAAGAAGGTGTTCAGTACCTCAGACTTCTCCATGTCCTGTGTAACTAGGTGCCCCATCTCATTTGGCAACAGGCCCACATTTTCCCTAGTCTTTCTCACCTATGTACTTATAGAAGCCCTTGTTGTCTTTGACATCTCTGACCAGACTCAAATCCAGTTGAGCTGGATGCTTGGACAATGTCTTTGTGTCCCTCCCAGCTTAACTGTCCTTGGTTACATCCTCTGGATGCTTCCTTTTTGTGTTTGAGTTTGGCCAGGAGTTACTTGTTCATCCACACAAACCTCCTGGCACTTTTGCCTGACTTCCTATTCACTGGGATGAACTCCTCTTGAGCCTGGAGGAGGTGAACCTTGAATATTAATACCAACTTCCTTGGGCCCCTCTTCATTCCAGGGCCTTATCCCATGGGATGCTTCCAAACAGACCTTTGAAGAGATCAAAGTCTGCTCTCCTGAAGGCCAGGGTTGAGAGTTTGCTTTTTACCCTCCTCCTTCCTCTCAGGATCCTGAACTCCATGACCTCATGGTCACTGCAGTCAAGGTTGCCTTTGACCTTCACAGTCCCAAGCAGCCCCTTGTTGGTGAGTACGAGTTCCAGCAGAGCACCTCTCCTTGTTGGCTTCTCTATCACTTGGGTCAGGAAGTTCTCACTGAGGCACTCCAGGAACCTCCTGGATTGATTATGTCCTGCTGCGTTGTCCTGCCAGCAGATACCATCGTGATTGAAGTTCTCCATTCTTTGGGCACTATAATAGTGCTCATCTTACCTCCTAAGAAACCATGGAACCTGGCATTTCTTTATTTGTGGTTTTGGAAAAGGGTGGCTTAAACCAAACCTTGCTTCTCTCAGTGTGCTTTACTAATGCTTTGAGCACCCATTAGTTGCAAATGGAAGCAGGAACGTCTTCTCAGATGAAGTTGCTAATGAAGAAGTCACAGGGCGAGCTGCTTGCTTGCTTGACCTTGTGTCGCACTGCAAGTTCAAAGCAGATTTGGGATCACGGAGTGTGGCAATGAAGGCACAGACTCTGAGTTCATGCACAAGCGCAAGCGGAATCAGAATCAGAATTGGAATCACTTTATTTAACGCTTTACTTCCTTTTATACTGATCACAAAACAAAGCCACTACTTTTCCCTTATCACCTAGCTAGTTGGCAAGTGCTGAGTCCAAGCCTTATATGGAAGCAAAGTTCATCTTGCAAAGTCCATTGGTCATAGCATTGACCTCGCTTTTCTCACTTAGCTCTTATTTTACTTCTCCCACGGCTTGTGGATGAGACCAAGGATATCTCCGGTGTCCAGCTCAGCTGCTGCATCTGTGGATTCTGTACTTGTTCCCACAATGGAGTTTACTCCCCTGGGCTGAGCAAAATTCTTGCACTGCTGCTGGGTAGCAGGTAAACAAAGCACAGGGAAGAGGGGACAGCTAGGGCCCTGATGTCTTACAGGCAGAAGGAAAAATGAGAGCAGGCTCTTAAATGAGTCTGCAGTGGGTTTTCTCAGTTTCACAGCAAATGTGTGGTGTAGTGGAGCTGCTAGATTTCTGGGGAGAAAGCAAGTCCTACACGCCTGGCACACAGTGGAAAGAATCATTGTAATAGACTAGACTATAAGCCTGATGATATGAATTTGGCGTTGTTGAAACTGAAACAATGGAAGTAATTGCAAACATCAGTGCAGGTTATGATAGGTTGGATTACTGTGCTGGTAGTTATGGAACCAGCTATTATGTGATACTGTATCCTCAATTTCTACAGCCGTCCATTCAGTTCATCCCCCAGAATCGGAAGCTATATCCCACATGGAGCAACAGTAAGTAAAAAAAAAAAAAAGTCTTACTTTATTTTTCAGTGGCACAGAACAAGTTTTGCTGCTTGCTGCAGCTGTGTGACGCCCAGAATATCACAGGAGACCTAAGAAGCTTGGAAGAGGCCTTACATTGTACTCAGTATCCCACTTAAAGGTCTAAGGGCTGGGTCCTCCTTCTGCTAGCTCTTGTCTTCACTTGCCAGTGCTTTTTGCTGAAGGCTCACTCTAACTGCTGTAACTATTTCTCTAGCACATAGCTTTTATGTGTCAGTCCCTAGCTAATTTCAAAGCAGCATCTTTCCCTGGGCTGCTCTGCCAAGGTTTCTGGAGGGTTCTGGCCATCCACCCTCCTCTAAGCTAGACCTGGCCCACCCTCTAGGCTAGCTGTGGTGTCATCAAGCATGAAGCAGAACTGGTCACCACAGTCCTGAGAGCAAGTCAAGAACAGAAACACTACCTCAACTGTGTTGATGCAGCTATGGGTGTGGTGAAAGAAAAACTGAAGTGTCCCTGAGGAAAAAAGGCTATGGAAAGTTTATTTTATATAAAACACAGTCATCCGAAGCAAAGTAACATCCAGTTGTCACCCTCAAGGCACTGCACTGAGCTTGGTTTGCCCTAGTTGTTTTGATCCAGTGGCTAAGGAAAAAAAAAGCAAGGGTGCTTACTGAACTGAACACAAGTAGCGTGTTTTAGTGCTGTTTAGTCTCAAGACAGCTGTGCAGGAGTCTCAGCCCCAGCCAACAATAGGTTTACTTTCTGTTCCTCCCCTGGACTCAGCCAAACTGTCCTACTGATGGAGCGAAGGCTCCTGCTGGCCCCGTTTGTACAGCTCACTGATGAGCTCATTCAAGTAGAATTTGGAAGGACACATTGCCTACAGAATTTTATTCCTGCCGAGACGAATAAATAAAAAAAAGCAGGTGAAATGCGCAGGGGATCACTGTTCCCTGGGTACCTGAAATGGAACGACATCTGAGGTACAAAACCCATGGCACCACCTGTCTTTATACAATGAAACCTGTAACACTTACAAGAGCTAGACGTGCTAAGATTTAACAGTTCCCAGATATTCAAGTTACACCACAGGTACTGTCATGGAGCAGCTACCTCCAGGAAGAAAAACAAGAAGTTCTTTTCGTGACACTTTTGCTTCAAAGCAGTATGAAAAGCGCAAGCTCTGGCCCAAGCCAGATGGTAGAAAGACTAAACTACCACACTGGAGGTTAAATCTGGACCTGTTTCCTCAGCATATTTTCTGAAAGAAGTTTTTTGCTAAGATCTTTCTGTGAATAGCTGTCTAAAAAGAAGGGGGTGGTATCTTTAAACCAACATCTGGTCTAAGAAAAGAGGCAATGAACAATTTTGTAATTATATTGGAAATGCTTCATCTACAATAATTAGAACATTCATACAGAATTTTCAAGAGTCAGCTTAAAATAATGCACACAATACATTAATTTCAGAACATCCTAGATGCATCAGTTGGTTGTATTCACCGACAGCAAGTTTCTCTCCTCTGCAGGTTCACGTATGCCCACAAGCAGGGCTGGTACTGCTTTCCATGACACACCACCAAGGGGTATCTGATTTCAGTAACCAAGGTGGAAGTCAAGCTTCGCAAGCCCGTGGGCCAACAGATTCCAAACTGCGTGTGTGTTGATAAAGCCTGGAGGTTTTTATTCATGCGTGGTAGCGAAGGAAGCTCCTGCAGCAGCCAAGCAACCACTGGCTCTATACGCAGCATGGTGCAGGGCAGCAGCCAAAGGGCAGTCAGCGATGAAGCGAAGCAAACTTCACGTCTAGCTCTAGGGTTGGGACCAAAGCTGGCAGAGGAAGGGAACATTTGACCTTAAGTGCAGTAGCTCCAGAGAGCTTGTGGATCGCGTGACTTTAATGGGCCTGTGGAGACTGACCACATCCTTGTTAGCTTCGCCTGTTAGGTGGCTGTATTAGAGCCCATCCCTGTTTAAGAAACACCAGTACAAGCCCAAAACATCAACATGTTATCCTAACTGGTACAAAACTTAACTATATCTTACCATGAATTATAAGTACTTGTGCATACTTTATTAATAGAGTATAAGATCTAGAATTCCTAAAAAGAACACCACAGAATCTTAATCTAAGCCTGGGCAATTGCACACGTACAGGAATTACAAGGCTTGGAATAAGAGACAAGCAGGTAAGGGAGTTTTCTTGATCAAGAGGCAGGGTGAAGTGCAATCAACTTCATTTGAGCTTGCATCCTGGAGCTTTATACAAATTGCAAAGTCAGTTTAATTACTTAGTTTATTTCTTTATGCTTTTAGAAACAACTATGGCTGTATAGAACAACAAATAGCAGGAAGTGAGGGTGAACTGCTTGTAGTCCTCCACTCACCCACTAATGCATACAAAACAAGCATTGATTCACTGGCCCATTTATGATGTCTGACACTGAACACCGCCTCTAGGGTGATGCTCATCATCTTCATAGACTTCTCCATTATAGTGGTGTTTTCTTTTTTGAGATGGATCAAAGTCCACTAAATCCACTTGCTCCATTTCCTCAGTTTCTTCTAGTTCCTGCCTTGTAGGTAGCAGTTTTTCAAGTAAAGACAGCTTATCTGAGGAGAGGAAGCCATTCTCTGGGAAGTTCACCTGAAATCATCAAGAATGGGGGTTACTCAACACTGCCCGAATTGGCCTTTTCCCATCCCACTACAGGTCAAATATCTGCCAAAGTCAGCTTTATGATCACAGATGACTTAAACCCAGTGCTTAGAAAGAAAAAAAAAAAATCTAAGTTGCTAGGCTATTTTTTAACACCTGTAAGAAGAGTAAGCCTCTATCTCTGGCAACTTAACCAAGTCTTATCCAACATTTCTTCTGCCTCAGGCTGCCCTCTGGAATTGCCCTAGAAACAGAGTGCAAGATATACCAAAATTAGAGACAAGGTTGAATCTCCTCTAAAGCTGTAGCAGACAGAGCTTGCTGCCACAGCTCCCAGCCCTAGCGTGGCTCCAGAGAAGAAATCAGCATTTTCCAGTCTACTCCTTCACTCCAGCACGGGGGAAGTTACTAATGCATCCTTCCTACAGGATGATAGAAACTAAAGAACATGCCAGCCAAATGGAAATTCACAAGGTACTTGAACAAATTCTTCTGGTACTTAACATACTTTCAGCACAGAGTGTTTCAGAACTTTGTTCTCAACTGTAATTCTGTTTGAATGATTACGTGTTCTCACCATTGTCAAAAGCAAAAACCAATTCTCAGATGTCCTGGTTTGGTAATCTCTTCTGGATTGAGGTAATGCTTAGAGGTTACATTTTGGACAGATATTCAGTGCTAAACAGTGCCATGGAAGTAAGTTGATCCACTTACCCTGAATTCTATGATCAGACGTCCTTTTTCATATGGTCTGCGATAAATTGGCATACCTTCATTCAACACACACTTAATAGCTCCATGCTTGACAACCTGGCCTAAAAAAAAACAAACCCAAAAAAGGAAGGGATCCATGCAGGCAACAGAAGCAGCTTTAACTCCCTTCAACATTTATGTAACCTTCTACATTGTGGTTAGACAGCTACACCAATATATAGTAGTCTAATAGGACTTACTGCCTGGTAACTTCCAAGTAGGAAAGCAGGTTGATATCTACATTACATTCTTGTAACCTTGTTATGCTTCCCAAAGGAAGCATACTTACAAATTTATTAAGTGCTCCATCAGTTCCAAGGCTGAAAAAGTGGTTTTCAGAGACCCACGGCCTTCAATTCTCATGAGGTATCCTCAGGATACAAGTATGTCCATGAGGTAAGGTCTGTTACTATATCACGCAAAGAGAAAGTTACTGCTGACTGCTATCCAAAAATCCTTTTTTGTCTAAAGATTCGTACTGCAAAGACTAGGAAAAAAAGCTTGATACCAGCACATATCCCTTGTACATTAAGATGGGATGCTTCTGTTCCTTTAAACTTCCAGCTTACATTAGCTGTATACTTGGAATTTCAGCAGAAAGTTAAAACACTTACCAGGATGGGAAGTAATAATAATAGTTCTGTTATCCAGCGTTGTGATAGGCTTTTGAAAGCCACATAGTGCTTCAACCAGTTGAATATCCATGGACATAAGAAGATCTTCATCTCGCCTAAGGTAGAACCAATCAAAAACCAATCACCAGAGAGGGAGAAACAGTAAAAGGATCATACCCAACTTCATTATTTAACTTGGCAAGGACAATAAAGCTGTAGTTTTAATAGAAGCCCAGGCAATTAAATAAAGAATATTGAATATTGATGCAGCACCCCAAGCCAGCAATTACAGGAATGATACCCATGCTGAGAGCTATTACTGATCAAATCTAGCTATCCAAAGTGAGACATGTACATTGAAAATAAATAAATAAGCAAGGCTCACCTGCATTCAGTTTCCCTTCACCACTCCTTCCCAGTTCTAGGAAGAAGTTCTCTCTCAGCCTCCTAAACATTGCCACTGGGACAATTAATCCCTGCCTTTATGTAGATTAATACTTTAAGTGCACCAGCTAGCTCTGCATCTGTTACACTCACTTTCTGAAGATATGGTACTAGGGAAGTTTAAACAGGTGATGGCCACTTGGGGTTATGATGAAAGTACTTTCTAGAAAGCACCAAGAAGTATCTGGAAGAGATAATGTAATTAACTGCCTATTCTGACTTCAATATAGAAGTGATAGTGAAGTCTGCATGCACTGCAGGTTCAAGGACTACAACATCCTCCAGCCTTTTCAGAGAACTTCGTTATTTCACTTATCCTGTTTTAAAGGTCTCTGGAAGCCCTGCCCAAAAAGTTAATTTTAGACTCTGACAGGAGAGGGGGAACATTCCACTTGCCCCAGAAGCAGCATGATCTCATCATAATCCCACAAGACCAGTAATATCAAGGGTTATCTAAGGATACCAGCACTGAAGGCAGAAGGCAGAAAGATGGACAAAAATAAGCCAGCAGAGTTGTGACTTCAAGTCCCAGGTAACCATGCAAACAGTTTGGCCCAGACTGTCCCTTTGGCATAGCTGATTCAATGTCTGTTTTCACTGGAAGTTAAGAGAAACCAGCTGAGTAAGCTTATCCAAAGTGAACAGAACTGATTCTTAACCTGTGAGCTCAGTGTTCTTTGGCATAAAGTGCTGGCACCAACTTCCAGAGCTCGGCACCATACAGGACAGTCAGGCAGACCAGCTGCACATTTCCCAAGAACTTTTGACTCACTGTTCCTATTTGCAAGTGCAGTGACTAGTGTTCCTATTTGCACCAGTCAGTGACTGGTGTTGAGACAAATGCTTTCTCTAAATACATGGATTCCCTTGTTACTGGTCTGAACAGAAGCAGCAAGACACCAAGTGCAACACACTTCTGCAAGATTACCAGTGTTGCTTTTTAATCGGACCAAACTGTACTGGACAGTCTCATTCCACAAACAGTAACTTGAATCAAGGAGGCTTGCAACACCAGGCAGTGCTGTCCGGTAACACACAATACCTGAGACATGGTCAGTGCTCTTTAGCCACTTTTGCTTTCGCAAGAAAGGACAGGACTGATTACCCTGTCTGACGCATTCATTCAGGAAATGAAGTGTGGGAAACCACCTTTAGTCAGAAGGATGCATGCTATATTCAGTAAGTTTGTAATAAATAAGATCCCCGAGGAAAAGTGAACACAATAGAAGTTTTCCATGCCTTGAAGCCAAGTGGGCAATGAACAGCTGCCTACACCAAATTGTAATTTTCTGAGGTAAGCGATGGAACACTATTCTAAAAAGACCAAGGGATGTAATTGCAAATATTCACATCTATTAAGCAAAATCTCAGGTGGCTGTGACTAGTTGTACCAGGATTCCTGCACACTTCAGCGCTCCTTTGGGCACCTAAACAAACTCACAGGTGAGTTCTAGCCACATGATCCTATCTATTGGTATTTCCAGTAGGTAAAAGGTGAGTGGTAACCAAGGAAGCATGTGGACAAGCAACTTGGGAGTTAACACAAAGGAGTTCCAGAGTTTTTACCTTGTAAATACAGAGTGGTCTTTTTGATCCAAGACAATAATAATGTCCCCTGGCTCTAGTCCTGGCTCTTGGTCCCCTTCACCATGGAATGTTATTTTCTGACCATCCTTCATTCCTGTTGCAGAAAAACAAAGAAACATTTTTCATCTTTTTTTAAGTGAAAAGCAGCAGTGAGAAATATTTTTATAGGCACAAGCTGGTACCAGGAGATCTCTGGATCTTTAAATTAGAACATCACAACCTTTCCTTGAAGCATTCGTAGTTTTTTTTTAACCCACTCACATATCCAACAGCTAGTGGATGCCAGCCTGAACTATGTCTCAAGATCATTAAGCTTAATTGTAGTGCAAAACCAGCCACCTGCCAAGATAAAAGTCCTTAAGGGGAACTACCAAAATAGGCTTCATTATAAAAACAAGCACTAAAAAGAAAACAGAAACATTGCATACAAAATACATTTTGAGAGCAAACGATCAACTTCTTCAGTTTTATAAATACATGTGCCAGAGTTACTTATGAAACATAATCTCAGTGCCTGCTGAGTGCAAGAAGCACTCTCCCTCAGACTTAACAGTCATTTAAGAAAACCATTTTACCCCCATAAGTCTCTCTACCATAAATTCTAGCTGCCTCATGCTAGCTCACAGTCTGTTTTTCTATAAGGAAGGGAAAAACAAAATCTTCTCAGCAATTTCCCTGATTAAAGTGTCAGTAATATATCCCTACTAGTCCTCATATTTAATGTTACTGTAGGATTTTCTATGTTAAAAACAAATCCAGGCATTGCATAAGGTGTGCTTACACATACAACAGTTACAGGTGATAATCAGGTACAAGTCTGTAGAAGCCACGTGCTTGTCAGCTTGCTCTATCTTACAAGCCACACTACTCCAGAGACTTCTCCCACCACCTTCTGAGCAGCCTCCTCAAGAGATGCATTTGTCACTCAGCGCTCTCCCATCACCGTGAGGGCTCGTGTGTTGAGCTGCATTCTGCCAAGCAAAGAGTACCTGCACTGCACAGCACTGTCAGGGTTGCATAGCAAACAGTTCCAAGCAGAAGAGGCTTAGCACAGTCTTTGCACCCTGTTACTATAGCAGACCTGGTTCCCCTTCACACTGAAACTTTTCATTGGTCCAAATACCAGATCAAGACTCACGTTTATGAGATTGCTCAAAACTAATTCACCACTTACAATACTGCACGTTTCAGAATTCATTCTTAGTTATGTGCACAGGTAATAGATGCAAATACAGAAGTAATCAACCTTCCCTAAAAACAAGTCTCCTGCTTTTTAAAGGCAGCAACAGGCAATTTTACTGTATATGTATTCAGCAGTGTTACTCACCAAATCAACACCATGCACTTGCTAAAGCTCCTGTTTTAGTGCTGCAAAGTCAGTCAGTACATCCGAGTTCAATACTTCATCTTAGTAAGACACCTCACCTTTGTCAATGTGAACTTCTAGTATCTTCTTCTCTCTGACAATTTTTCTGCCAGTGCAGCTCTTACACCGGTCCTTGGGGCTGATACGTTCCCCGTGTCCCTGACACTCCATACACACAGACTGGATTTGTTGCACCATTCCTGGACCGATCTGGTGAATTCTGATCTGCATGCCTGTTCCTCTGCAATTAGGACAGCATTCTACCGCACCTTTCTTACCACCACGACCTGAGGAGAATGAAAATTGGAGATGGATAGTTATGCGCAGTCAGAAAAAAAATACAAAATCTTTAGAAGCAACTTGTGTCCAGCTTCAGTTACCTTCACATTTGTCACAGATAACATTCTTCTGCAGTGCAAGTTTCCTTGTTGCACCATTGTACATATCTTCTAAACTTACTGACAACTGATGGACCACATTTTTGCCTGTAAAAGAAAACATGTATTTACTCAAAGTTTGAAAGCTTGGTCTCCATGCTCAAGTCACAATAAACCAAGTCTATGAGCTTTAACATCCTGTTTTAATATAGCTTTATCTTGTTCTGCTGGTATTAGTCAACAGCCCCTTACTATCCGATGTCAAATGAGGTAGCAACTTTAATGGCTTTGTCAGTAATGTGTCTTTCTTAGAATAAGCCAAACGCTAACAGAATTAAAAATATGTAGGACTCCAGACATCTAAGTTTTGTAACACATCACCTCAGATTTAATGAAGTGCTTGAACACGTCTCCTACAAGGAAGTCGGAAACGCTGCCTAGAGTCAGCAGAGTACTTTCTTCCTCTCACCAGGGGACTTTCTGGAAACCAAATTGAGTAATTAAATTTTTACACTCAGGAATTAATTAGAACTTTAGCTACTGCAGGCTTAATTTTGCAAAGGACACCAAGTTCTGGCTTACTAGGAACACTTTGAATACAATACTGTAACATTTTAATACAAACCCTTTTTTCTTCCCTTGGTCACCAGGTCTACACTAAGGAATGACGGGGTCAGTGCTGCTCTTAACCAGCTTAATTAACACTCGAGTCTTTCCCAGTGTGATTAATCTAGACTTTTAATTTCAGAGCAGTATTTTACTGCAGCTTCAACTCAATTCCACTGAGCAGGACAGTTTAACAAAAAGGCTTCACAGACTGTATTTGATTTGGCTATCTTAGGTAGACATATACACAAAATATATGCAATTAAAGACCAAATTCACATTTCGATACTACACTTACTGAAGCTTAGTTAAAAAGATCATTTTAAGGTACACTACTGTTCCGCTTCCTATTCAGCTTATTAGCAGCTGGGCTTACGCTCAGCTGAAGTCTTTCCAAACACGAAATCCGGTTAGCTATTAACATGAGACAATGCACAAGAGACCAAACTACCATCCCGTGAACCAAATGCCCTCCCCTGCCCGTTCCAGGCGTTAAGGGCTAGGGACGATGTTTTCTCCCATTTTCAGATCAAGCCTGTAACTTCACTTTAACGCTGTTCAAAGCCTTACATCTACGGCATTCTCCTCAGAGGCTTTGATCTTGTCTGCCACAGCGATCACGCTGTAAAGTCTGGGAAAGCGTGGGAAGACGGCACGTTACCTCGTCTCTCTCTCTGCATCCTCCCACCGCCGCCAAAGAACATATCGAATATGTCCATGGGCGACCCGAAGCCACCACCAGAGCCACCCTCTTTGATGGCCTGCTCGCCTCCTTTGTCATACAGGTCCCTTTTCTTCGGGTCGGACAGGACTTCGTAAGCTTGGGAAATCTGCTTGAACTGCGAGAGACATACATCGTGCCTCAGCGCCCGGGCCTTGGACCTTCGCCCCCAGGCGGCCCCCCCCCCC